TCCACTGGAGCACTCACCATCTTCGGTCTTAACCAGGGCGAGCTCAAGACACACGCAGTGCACGAGAAGACGCACGGTATCAAATGCGGGACTTTCGGGTCTTCCGCACTGGAAGACCGACACTTGGCTACAGGCGACTACGGCGGCGTCATGAGTGTTTGGTAAGTAGAAACGTCGAGCTCAAAAGCTGCAGAATTGAGCTCATGAGCGTCGAAAATGCGTGACCACAGGGACCTGGAGAGGGCTGAAGTCCCCGTTTATTCAGCTCAAGCACACAAGTCCATTGTGAACGCCATAGACGGCTGTGGAGGTCAGAACATTGGCAGTGGAGCGCCCGAGATCGTCACAGGAGGACGAGATGGCTGCATCCGAGTCTGGGACGTTCGTGTACCTGAGCCGGTGGTGACGCTGGCTCCTAAGGAGCAAGACACGGCACGAGACTGCTGGACTGTCTGCTTCGGTAACTCCTACAACGACGTGGAGCGCTGCGTCGTTGGAGGCTACGACAACGGAGACATCAAGATGTTCGACCTGCGCACCAACACGCTGCGATGGGAGACCAACTGCCAGAACGGCGTCGTCAATGTGCAATTCGATCGCAAAGACATTGAGATGAACAAACTGCTGGTGACGACACTCGAGTCCAAGTTCCGTGTCTACGATCTGCGGACATTCCACCCGGAGCAAGGCTTCGCTTGTATGACGGAGAAGGCGCACAAGTCCACGATCTGGCAGGGACGTTTCTTACCGCAGAACCGTGACTTGTTCATGACTGGCGGAGGCAACGGTGGCTTCAATCTGTACAAATAGTAAGTGCCTAGTGCTGTGTCGACTGATTTGTAAGGGTAGGATCTAACCCTGCTTGTGTCTCTAGCCACTACCCGCTGTCGAGAACGGCGAAAGACTCGGACGGAAGACTGTACGGTGTCTGTGGCACCGTGGAGCTGCTCAACTCGCGTGTACTGTCCACACAGCCGATTGTAAGCATGGACTGGAGTCGGGATCGCGAGGGTCTCTGCACTTTGGCGTGCTTGGACCAGACCGTCCGCGTCTACATCGTCACCAAAACCAACAAGTACTAAGCGGAACAATTATATTGAAAAAAATCAATTTGACAAAAACCTTCGAAGTACTACGTAGTATTACAGTTGTTGCACTAGTACTTTATCACGAGGGGAATCCGCGACGTCGCAATGATTTCGTCGTCATCAGCAGCAAGACTTTGCCTATCGAGCTGGAGAAGTCGGTAAGCCCAGTATCAATGCTCTTTTCTGCCCTGATTTCGGTACTAAGGCCTCCGCGGCAAGTAACTTGCCAAGTTCTATGGGTTTCGAGATGTTACAATTGCCAAAGCAGGCTACTTTTAGAAGTATAGTGCACGCGGTCTAAGGCTTGACTCTAAGCGTCCGTCAAGGCAACACTTTCCCTGGGGTCGTCAACTGCGCTTGGACCTGAACAAGTCGCAGGAACGATCTAGACGTCTGTCCCGCTCGGATGCCGCAGTGGATAGTATCCACTGAATACATGTACTGCATCGCAACTCTCTTATATCAAGGAGGTCTCCAAGTAGAAGCCAAGCTGGGTACTACTACCAAGTTCTACATGTAGAATCTGGTCAGTGAACCAGGCCCTCGTACCGTAGTGTCGTCGACTTTGTGCTTACACATAGCGGTGGCGCTTTGGAGCGGTAGGATCCACCAGTTTAAGCTCTCAACAACAATAAAAAAAAAGTATTTGCTTATGAGTTCAACAGGTCCTGCGATAATGTCGTGTGTAGTCGATAAAGAGCTTCAGCTGAGGCTGGACGCTGCTTTGGGTCCAGCGACTCACAAGACAAGCCCAGATCCACTATAGACGGCAGCGAACTCGACGAAAAATCGACTTGCAATTGCCCAAGAGCAATTTTTTGCAAGGTCAAAGTGTCTGCCGCTTGATCATTCCACCTCTCCTTTGCATGTGAGTATGGAAGAACATGAACATCCAACTCGGACAGCAAGACGCCGAATGAGAACATGTCCGCCTTGTCGTCGTACCTCTCCCCTAACATCACCTCTGGTGCCATCCACAGTGACGTCCCCACACCAGCCGTCATGGTTCTATCGGCTTGTTCTCGGGAGATACCAAAGTCCGTGAGCTTGGCTTCGAGACTGGAGGTGAGAAGGACGTTCTTGGATTTCAGATCTCGATGCAGCACTGGGGTCTCAAGCGAGTGAAGGTATGTGAGAGCGTGGGCGACATGTAGGGCGATGGTCACCTTGGTACGGTCGAAACCTGTAGGGTGGTTCTCATTTTGATACCTCGTCAGCAATCCCCATAAGTCGCCGCCTTCCATGAACTCAGAGACGACACAAAAATCGGTCAAAGAGTCCCATGCTACGCCCACAAACTGAACAATGCGCGAGTTGTCGAGAGTCGCCATGAGCTTCACCTCAGTCAAGAATGCGTTCACATGTTTGACGCTCTTCCGCATTTCAGGCAGCAGCATCTTGATCGCGACTTGTTGCTGGTTAAAAAGCCCTAGATACACCTCGCCACCACCCCCTCGGCTGATGGGTTGAAGAACGATGACCTTCTCGCGAGGGATCCGAGCTGTAGCGATGACTTCATCGTCCCATCAACCTACAAGACCGAGAGGTTTGGAAGATTCACTGTGGCCGTGTACTGACGCGGTCTCCAGTGATCCGTGAGCTGTCAAAGACCCGCTCTTGTGGCCGTTGTGAGGAGATTGAAACTCGTTAAACGCGTCGTTCTTGTCCACTTCAGCCTCACGTTTCGTACGGACACGACGAAGAATAAACAGAGCGACAGCTAAGACAGCAACCAGAGCTGCTGCTGCGATACCAACTATCGCACCAATACTGACACGATCTCGCAACTTCCCGACGCTAGAAACACATCTGCCTCCCCGAATGAGGAGCAGCTGTTGTTGTCGTATGTCTCCATGATCACGTACGTGAAGTCTCCGAATACCTGTTGGGTGGGTGCGAACCTGTCCGAGACGTTACACGCTCGACTGATGAAGTACGTGTCGTTGCCGAAGCTGATGTCGCTGCACGCGTCCACGGCGCAGCTCGCAGACACATTGTACATGGCCAGCACGTCTGGCGTCCCAGCGCAGTTGACGCGCGAGAAAATCTCGACGGCTTCCATCGTGACGGCTTGAGCGGGTCTGAAGGACCGAACGCTCTTGATTGTAATGCAAGACCGTGGAACTGTCACTGACAGTCTGTCAGTAGTGGGGCCACAACTGTATCAGTCTGACAGTGCCACTATTGCGCGGTTCAAATGTACGGCACATCCTCATCATGTCGCAGTGCCGGCACGAGGTTTAAAAGAGCGTTTTACGGCTTAATTGTTAAAAATTAACCGGGTTTTATTTTGATGATTAGTCCTTAGTGTGGATTAGTCCAGTATTTGTGAGGTTGACTGGCAGCTTTAAAAGCTCCTGCGATAAGACTATGTGTAGCTGATGGAGGGCCTCGGCCGAGGTTGGACGCTGTTTTGGGTCCAGCGACACACACGACAAGCCCAAATCTACCATTGACTCCAACGGACTTGACGAGAATTCGACCCGCAATGTGCCTAGAGCAACCTTTTGCAAGATAACAGCATCCGCGATTTGAACGTTCCCAATTATCCTTGGCGTGTGAGTATGGAAGAACATGAACATCCAACTCGGACAGCAAGACGCCGAATGAAAACGTGTCCGCCTTGTCATCGTACCTCTCCCCTAACATCACCTCCGGTGCCATCCACAATGACGTCCCCACACCAGCCGTCATGGTTCTATCGGCTTGTTCTCGGGAGATACCAAAGTCCGTGAGCTTGGCTTCGAGACTGGAGGTGAGAAGGACGTTCTTGGATTTTAGATCTCGATGCAGCACTGGGGTTTCAAGCGAGTGAAGGTATGTGAGAGCGTGAGCGACATGTAAGGCGATGGTCACCTTGGTACGGTCGAAACCTGTAGGGTGGTTCTCATTTTGATACCTCGTCAGCAATCCCCATAAGTCGCCGCCTTCCATGAACTCAGAGACGACACACAAATCGGTCAGAGAGTCCCATGCTACGCCCACAAACTGAACAATGCGGGGGTGGTCGAGAGTTGCCATAAGCTTCACCTCAGCCAAGAATGCGTTCACATGTTTGACGCTCTTGCGCATATCCGGCAGCAGCATCTTGATCGCGACTTGTTGCTGGTTAAAAAGTCCATAATAAACCTCGCCACCACCGCCACGACAGAGGTGACGCTGAATGACGATCTTCTCGCGAGAGATCCGAGCTGTAGCGATGACTTCATCGTCCCATAAACGAACAAGACTGAGCGGCTTTTGTGACCCCCTCTGGCCGTCATCCAAATGTGAATCTAGCGTTCCTGGGGCAGTCAAAGAGTTATTTTTTTGGCCGATTCGGGGTGATTGAAACTCTGTGAAAGTATCCTGCTCTTCGACTTCATCTTCGTGTTTTTTGCGAAGATGATGAGCGACTAATAACGACACGAGTAGGATGAACACCAAGCTGCCGGCTACGATTTCGAAGATCCCGCCGGTACTTATGCTGGAATCCTTCAAACTGTCATCAGACCCAGTCGTACTACTTTCCACCTGTCGATCCTTCGCTTCAGAATTACTGGAATTGCCGCTATAATTTTCTGTAGAGCTGGTCGAACCTGACCCAGAGCTACTTTCACTGCTGTAAAATCTGTACAAATCTTGTTGACAAGAACCCGTGGATAGTGCCGTCTTGCTAAGCTCAAAGTGCAAGGAAGGCTCGCCTCCACACGCTTTGTTAGGATAAAGCGATACTACAGCAGATCCATTTGGGAAGAGAATCGTAATGGCAGACTGGTCTCCGAGCCCGGACGATATTTCGCAACTTCCCGACGCCAAGAAGGTATCTGCTTCTCCAAATGACGTGCAGCTCTTGTTGTCATATGTCTCCATGATCACGTACGTGAAGTCTCCGAATACTTGTTCAGTGTGTGCGAACCTGTCCGAGATGTTACATGATCGGCTTATATAGTACGTGTCGTTGCCGAAGCTGATGTCGCTACACGCGTTCTCATTGTACACGGCCAGCACGTCTGGTGTCCCAGCGCAGTTAGCACCCGAGAAGATTTCGACTGCCTCCATGAGCAAACCTGAAAGCGATCAGGAGCTGCGGAATTAAACGCAGCTTTGATAAGGATAGCTGAGGGGTCTCAATGAACCTACCCTGCTGGAATTGGAAAATGTCGGCGGACCTGTCTGAACACGAGCGACAAACTGAGCAACCAAGAGTCTTCTTTCAGCGACATTATTCGACATAATAATCGGTCTTTATGGTCGAAGATACTGAAATTCTGCCCACTGCTTGGCAACTACCTTATTGAGTTTCTGGTATCTGGATAAGTGTCCGTTAATAGTGCGCTAGAAGTGTTATTGCTGCTGAAAAGTCTAATAACTTCCTTTAAGGTGTAGGACGACAAGTCAACAAGGAGTGATTACATGGATATGACGGACGTGAAAGGTATCAAAAGTGGGCAATACATGTGCAAGTAGGTAATTGGTACCCAGCTGCATCAACAACAATATGAGTCATGTTATATGACTCATGTAGCAACTTGAATGACCACATGGTGGGCTGGATGGAGAGCACTAATGACAGCGCTAGCTACCAGGCGACTTGGAGGAACACGAGAATCCTGCGTATCCGACCAGGATGCATTTAGACCTCTTCAGATGTTGCGTCGTTTATAGGTCAATAAGTTGATGGTGAATTTGCTGTGATCAGCTTCTTCAACATCGTTCAGGTGCTACTCGAGCGAGCCAAAGTGAGTCTAGTTTTCGTTGATTTACAACTTAAAAAGATGTTTCTGTAATTTAGTAATCTGTAAATGATTTTTTTTCTCTCTCTCTCGTTGTGATCGAGAATTGTAAAATACATCGATAGTCGCGCCAAAGTCTTGGTGGGCACCAGAACCAGTCTCGCTTTTTGCCAACGCCAAAGGCTGCATGTACTGTATTCTCGAGATTCGAGAATACCCTGAGTCAGCCGCATATTTCAAATGACGAAGTACTTTAGGTCTAGCGTTATTTGTGTTTGGATAGCCTCAAAAACAGTCAACTCGACTCGAATTTTCGAGACGAGGAGGAGGAACACTTTATTTTTTTTTCTTTAGCTGACTTCCTCGGGAGAAGTCAGCTCAAGAAAAAGAAAAAAATGTGTCTTGTCTGCACGAGTGTAGCGTGAAGTTCAGCGTGGTCAGGTCAGGAGAGATCAGCCTCATCGCGTTGAGCTTTCGGCGCTATTACTGTAATACTGTCCGCTACATGCACTTGCAGCCTGCAAGTTGCAGGCAAAGCAAGCGAGTTGTTAATCCTAAGACAAAGCGCAGCCTCCAGCGCTCGATCGGATCTCGCCAAACACCTCCAGGCTGCAGAGAGACTTTCGGAAGTCATTCGTTATTTTAGAATTCTTTTCATTTCTTAAAACGGCTGCTTCGATTAATACATGTAAAACTGCTGAGCCAAGTTGCATCTCCAGGAGCTGCAAGAGGTAAATATGATGGCTCTATAGGTCGCATGTTCAGTGCCTACACACTGTGTATTAATAGTATGTACTTGTTCGCACAGAGAGAGCATTCTGCTCTGGCGAATCAGCTTTCCGATTGTGAGCGTCTACCGCTGCTCACACGGCTATGTATGTAAGGCTGAACCTTGTTGACAGATAAACATCCCACTCTTTTGACCCGAGAATCTCGGCGAGATGGGCTGCATTTGTACGGATCTTCACCCTGATCGGTCCACAGCACCACATGTTCCCCCATGTCACTCTCGACTCGCCATACATCAACTCGCAGGCAAATGGAGGAATCGCTCAAGCCCAAGCTGCACGACCACAAAGAGGTGGCCAAACCGCGGCGTCGTCCGCTGCCGCCCATGCCCATAACCGTCTCGGATTCCGTCCTGTCCTTCTTCCTCGATTCGCCGTCCTCGTCCACGTCCTCCTCGGAGAACTCGCGTCTACACAACTCCGGGAGTACAGAGGAGCCTGTAGCCAACGACCAGCGACGCCCCAGCGCACGCTCGAGCGTCGTGTTCGACTCGATGCGGCGCTGTCCGTCCCTCAGTCGCAGTCGTAGTGAAGTCAGTAACAAGTCCAGCAGTAGCTGTCGCGCACATCTGGGTCCCCGCTCGACGTCCACCAACACGTCGTCCTCTATGTCTCTTAAAAAGCGACCACGTAGCTTGGCTAACCACCTCGGAGGCTTCGTGCTGCACTCGGTCACGCCACGAGAGTCGTCGATTCTGCAGTACACGTCCATGGTGTCACCGGGTACTCACACGGAATACGAACTGGTGCTCGAAGACACTATGGTATCGGGTGTAGGAGAGAGATGGGTCGTCTCGAGACGATATTCAGGTTTCAGGACGCTGCGAGACGACCTCGCGTTGGTATTCGACCGACGCAACCACCCAGGAGCTGCGGTAGACGACAAACAAGCGCACTGTCAGCATTGCGCGCCGATGATGGAGGCGCTGGACAAACTGAGCTCCAAATACTTCCCGAAGCGACGACTATGGGGCTCCAAGCGCTCCAAAGTTGTGCAGCAACGTGCAGAACTCTTCTTCAAGTACTTACAGGGGCTGCTAACACTCGCTACTAATCGATCTACTCGTCGCTGTCCGCTTGTGGCGCTGGGCTTCGCTGTGCAGTTACGAACGTTCCTCACGCTCGAGCGTGAGCCGTACCGGGACGCGCCGGGCACGTTTGGGGGCGGTGCTGTGCCGTTCCTACTTAACGAAATGACCCTAATGGACGCAAGGCCTGATAATGCCACGACGCTTATGACTATCGACGAGCTTGACGCTGCGTGTGCAGACTCCACGGACGATGAAGCGGAGTGTAACGTCAACCAGGTGATCGACTTCCCGTCCCCTGTCTACGTGCTGGAGGAACAGGATGAACTACGCTCGTGGGACGGCTTCGAGCAGTGGGAAGAAGCCTCGGTCAAGCAGTAATGCACCATAGACAAGGTAAACTAAACACTCACACGTATACTTAAGCCACAGCCAGCGCCGTACACGTACGTCACGTCCATCGGAAGACTTTGACAAACAACGTGAACAGGCTTCAGTGCTGGTCTTAATCCACTCATATTTCTGGGTTTTCTTGTTCATAATTTCTTGGATCTCGAGCTTGATCTCCGGGTTTTCTGCTTCTTCGTCGGTCTCCGATCTTCCGTAGTCAATAGAAGCCGCTGTTCATTTCACGCGTCACCTTTCTGGTTCAACGCCACAATGACCACACTGATGTTATCGTGTGCGAAGTAAGCTTGCGCCTTGAGCACCAGCTCCTGAGCTGCGAGTTGGACGTCTCCATGGGTCTGAAGTTTACGCAGCACAAAGTTGACAGCTTGCTGCGACGTCAACACGTCGAAGAGCCCGTCACTTGCAAGCAGCAAGAACTGGTCCGACGGGTTCACGAGATGCTCCACCACATCTGGCGTGACCACCAAGTGGCCATCCTGTTTGTGCGCCAAGTCACCGAAGCCACGGGAGATCTGCAGAATGCCGTCCAGTCGGCCGTTGTGCACGAAGCCACCTGACGCCTCGATACGCTCCTGTTCAGCCGGTAGCGACGCCTTGTGATCCGTCGTCATGTCGACTGCTAAGGCGTCTGCAGTGCACAAAACAGCTCGACAGTCGCCCACATTGGCCACGTACAGTCGCGTGGGTTGGTCTTCCTCGTCCAGTTCGTCCTCTGCTGTCTCAGTCTCTTCGTCGTCCTTAACAGCGTCATCTTCCTTGTCATTGGCACGGCAGCGTTTCTTGCGTTGCTTTGCCACCACGACGAACACACTCGCAGCACCAGAGAACGAGATCGGCTGCAGTAACTGCTTCATCTCCTCTCCACACACGATCTCGCCGTCGATCTCGCAGCATTCGTCTTCAGTGAGACTGGGCACTGTGCTCTCGCTTCTGAGATAAC